ATGAAATGCATATCAATCAAAAGACCCTTCCTAACCGGTTCCTAACCAAAGGACCAAATCTAAGTTGGTTGGCCACTTCCTGCTCAAGATGAGTTTTGTCACTAAGAAAAAAGTTGAGGAGCTAAACAAAAAACGAATCCAAACACACAGGAAAAGTTTGTAATAGAGCAAGGTTTGTAAGATTTTGTCATGTTCAATAAAAGTTTTATTTTTTTTTGAGAAACTTTCAACAGGTTTTTCTGCAAAAGTCAAACTATTAATCCTAAATTTTATACGCATTTAATACTGAGGCGTGCTGAATTTTACCTCAGAGAAACCGGACGTGGAAAATTATTTTATTTCTTTTTATATCTTTTTTGATCGGTATTTCACTAAAAGTCAACCAAACGACTACTCTTCATAATTTTTTGACAAGGTTTGGTTAATAATTTGATAAAACTGAGTTGTACAAAAATGCATGTCTGACTAACACAGTATAGCTAATTTTGGTCAGTTTACAGTGCGAGTGGCCAGAAAAACCAAACATTTGTCCAATTCGGATCAATTTTTATGAGAAATAAATTTTCATTCTCTGTTATTAGTGTCAATAAAGATAAAAAAAAAAAAAAAAAAATATATATATATATATATATATATATATATATATATATATTGTTTTCTGTAATTTTCAGAAATATAGCTGTTGCAATACCTTACCGTAAGTTTTCATCAGTATTTTTTTCTTAGCTCTTTTACCTACACATACTCCCAAAAAAAAATATTTCAAATCAAAAAAGAATAGAAACTTAAGGGTCCTAAAAAACTTAGAAAAATTAGATATCAAAAATTTTGAATCCAACAGTGAATTGTTCTGATTATAACAAAACAGCAAAGGTATTATCGTTAGAGGTTAAAATTTCAATTGGCGTTTTCCAACAAATTGCCAAAGCATTTGATTTCTACAAAAACAACTTTTACATAGGAAGAAAAAAAATTAGTTTTTAAAACTAAAATAGAGGCGGGCATCAATTGTTTAATTTACCAGCAGAAAGAGAGCTTGGTGGCCCGCAAAATTATTTCGGTTCGTTTGACTTTTAAAATTTTTTGTGTAGCAATTTTGAAGTAGATCTCATATTCGGAAAAATGAATGGTTTTTTTTTTATAATTTGCATTTTTGTGTTATTTTCAGGTTTTTGATCAATGACCCGTTCACTCCGCACTTAAAAGTTTACTTAAAGAACCAAAATGTATTTGGTCAAAAACTGGCTAATATCCTTGAATATTTAATGGGAAATAACCAATCTTTTTAATTCAAATTTTTATTTTGGTCAATTTACTGTCAATCGACAGTAGCATTTATGATAGGGGTTCTTAATTGATTAAGTGTAATTTACAAAAATGAAATCAATTAATGAATGAAAATCAACATGTTAAACTCTAGCTCTCTAATGGAAGTTATATGCAAATAAAACAAATGACCCTTCCTAACTATCTCCTAATCAAATGACCAAATTTAATTTTTTGGGGATAACCTGAACCCCGTGCGTTTTTTTTTCACTAAACAAAAGTGCAGCTTAATAACCAGAGAATCCAAACACACAGGAGGAATTTGCATTAGGGCAGAATTTCTCACTTTAAATAAAACTTAAAGTATTAGGACAGTTTTGAAACAGGTTTTTTTCTGCAACAAAAACCATCAATTTTTTCGCTATGTTTTAGTTTTAAAATTCGCTTTTATAAAGAGTAGAAGTTCCAGCTGGAGCCCATGAGCAGCAATTACTTGAAATTTTGATCTATGTTCCTATCAACAAAAAAATCTTGATTAAAGATAGGTCGGTAGACTAGTAAAATAGTTACTGGGCAGAGACAAAATCACAGGCCTTTATTTTTTTGCCTCATCTAAGATAATTATCATTTTTATAGTGTCACGAGCGCTTGGAGTGATAGAATAGAAAAACAAGATCAATTTTGTTTGGAGTCGCCTAATTAGTCAGTATGCCTATTAATATACAGTAAGATAATATGAATAAAATTTTTAAAAACAAAACTCATACGTTGCAAAAATGTGAGGCTCGAAAACAAAGAAGACCGTATCATTTTTAACAGGGGTTCTTAATTGATTAAGTGCAATTTACAAAAATGAAGTCAGTTATTGAATGAAAATTAACATATTAAACTCTAGCCCTCTAATGGAAGTTATATGCAAACAAAACAAATGACCCTTCCCTAACTATCTTCTAATCAAATGACCAAATTTAATTTTTTGGGGATAATCTGCACCCCATGCATTTTTGTCACTAAACAAAAGTGGGGCTTAATAACCAGAGAATCCAAACACACAGGAGGAATTTGCATTAGGGCAGAATTTCTCACTTTAAATAAAACTTAAAGTATTAGGACAGTTTTGCAACAGGTTTTTTTCTGCAACAAAAACCATCAATTTTTTCGCTATGTTTCAGTTTTAAATATCGCTTTTAATAAGAGTAGAAGTTCCAGCTGGAGCCCATGAGCAGCAATTACTTGAAATTTTGATCTATGTTCCTATCAACAAAAAAAATCTTGATTAAAGATAGGTCGGTAGACTAGTAAAATAGTTACTGCGCAGAGACAAGATCACAGGCCTTTGTTTTTTTGCTTCATCTAACATAATTATCATTTTTATAGTGTCACGAGCGCTTGGAGTGATAGAGTAGAAAAACAAAATCAAATTTGTTTGGAGTCGCATAATTAGTCAGTATGCCTATTAATATACAGTAAGTTAATATGAATAAAATTTTTAAAAACAAAACTCATACGTTGCAAAAATGTGAGGCTCGAAAAAAAAGAAGACCGTAGCATTTTTAGTTGGGGTTCTTAATTGATTAAGTGTAATTCAAAAAAATGAAGTCAGTTATTGAATGAAAATCAACATATTAAACTTTAGCCCTCTAATGGAAGTTATATGCAAATAAAACAAATGACCCTTCCTAACTATCTCCTAATCAAATGACCAAATTTAATTTTTTGGGGATAACCTGAACCCCGTGCGTTTTTTTTTTCACTAAACAAAAGTGCAGCTTAATAACCAGAGCATCCAAACACACAGGAGGAATTTGCATTAGGGCAGAATTTCTCACATTAAATAAAACTTAAAGTATTAGGACAGTTTTGCAACAGGTTTTTTTCTGCAACAAAAACCATCAATTTTTTCGCTATGTTTCAGTTTTAAAAATCGCTTTTAATAAGAGTAGAAGTTCCAGCTGGAGCCCATGAGCAGCAATTACTTGAAATTTTGATCTATGTTCCTATCAACAAAAAAAATCTTGATTAAAGATAGGTCGGTAGACTAGTAAAATAGTTACTGCGCAGAGACAAGATCACAGGCCTTTGTTTTTTTGCTTCATCTAACATAATTATCATTTTTATAGTGTCACGAGCGCTTGGAGTGATAGAGTAGAAAAACAAAATCAAATTTGTTTCGAGTCGCATAATTAGTCAGTATGCCTATTAATATACAGTAAGATATTATGAATAAAAATTTTAAAAACAAAACTCATACGTTGCAAAAATGTGAGGCTCGAAAGCAAAGAAGACAAGACCATAAAAAGAATCATGAGGAAGTATTTTAAAAAGGTCTTCTTGATACCATAATACTTAATTGCTTCATTGATTTGTTCTCAATTTGAAAAACTGTCTAACTATTGCAACTCTTTACAAGTGGCTTAAGACAATAATTTCTAACTTTATTTCTTTTCATGTAATTCGCACAAAACGACTTTCAACTTGAAATCAAAAAGAAATTGAAAAGAAAGGATCGAAGAAAAACATTAAAACTCTATACAGATCCCATCAATTTCAAATCCAACACAAAATTATTTTAACGATACTATGAAGGAAAACCAGGCGATGATTTCGAATAGGCTGAGATTTAAATTATATCAAAATTCAAAAAAAAAACTCTTATCTTTTCGTATGAAACAAATTTTTACCTACCAGTTGCATCAGCAAAAAAAGTTTTAAAATTAAATCCAAATACTAGCATAGAGGGTGTCATTTTAAAAACTTTTATTTGCTCGATTTTCCTTTGGAAAAACAATTTGTTTTTGACAGGGAGCAAGTAGACTTCAGCAAAAATCTGAAATCTCATAACGAAAATTGATACAAAATTTGAATTTTCACAACTAGTCACAAGGTGTCAAAATTTTTAGACTCGTTCAAGTGACAAAATATTTCTGACGAACTGATGAAATATTATCATAAGACTCTACGATCTAAAATTAAAAATCGGGTGACTATACTAAAAATACGGCGGATTACAAATGACTGATTTTGCCGGTTTGGATTGAATAACGCACTCAAATTTTTCAAAATTTAACGGGATATCAAAATTGGCGCAGTAATCTGGCTCAGCAAAGATTTCAATTGAATTGAGGCCAACTCCTTGATCTTAAAGTTGAGTTACTTTATGCAAAAACTATCACCTTGGTTTTAGAGCCCTCGTAGTAAAAGAAAAAATTAACACACTTCATTAGGGGTTTCGAAAATTCTTTTGTAGTGAAAGAGCTTCAATAAGATAGCCCAAATCTTTTGAAAAAATCCGCCATGCCATAGCTTTTTCCCACTTTTGCGAAAATGATTGGGACAAGAAAAGGCTGTGGTTGTTACATATTGTTTCCTTCAATTTTATTTGAATCCAAAAATGTTCCAATTATATAACTTAACAAAAATTGATAAAATACCGACTGTTTATCGATAAAAACTGCTCAAAACTTTCCTATTTTTCATACTTATTATACAAAGACGGCCACGGAGACAGAATATCCGATCTTACTCGTGTAACTTTTTCTTGTTTTAGGTATTTGCTCTTGATTTTCTTAGGTTATAAAGATTTACTCAAATTCTTTTCACAAACTAAAAAAACAGCCAAAATTTGTTATATATTTTTTAAAATGTTAAATTTTTATATGCTTCTAGCACAACAAACGGCTCTCCGCGCTGCTCCACAAATTTCTTCTGTTTTTGTAATCCCGGCAAAAAAAACGTTCAGTGGAAGCGTCTCTTAGTTAAGTATGCTGGTATAAGTACAAGTTAAAGAAGTAAATCATGTAAAATATACAGTAAGATACAATTAAGATCATGCTAAGGATATTGATTGGGGAGAGAATGGGAGGATTTAGGCAAGGGGAGACAACAGCTTTTTACACTTCCAATATTCCATCTTTTTAAAAATTTGTCAATTTTTTATCAGAACTTGGACCAAAAATGCCACCTAAATCTTGCGTCAATTAAGAAGACGGTTAAATTGTAATAAGTATTTAATTTGAATTGAAGCAATAAATAGAAAGTTATTAGATATTCACCGCATACATAATTCATTTAATATTACTGGAGACCTCGGTTTTGAAAAAAAAGCAAGGTTTAATTGGTAGTAGTAGCATTTTTAGCCCAATTTTGCATCAAATATCCAAATCAATCATTTAAATACGTCAATAGCACAACCAAAAGTTATCCATCTTAAATTTACTCTTTCAAAACACGCTTTTGTTAATATTCGCTTCCCAAAAGCTAATAATGTTTGGTTTTATAAGTCAACTTCGGTTTTTCAAAAAAAGTTTCTGATCATTTTATTAGCTTTCATCAAATATTCACTGCATACTAATGGTTAAAGCAATGGGTATGTATAATAACTATTGATAAAATGGTGGTTAATACTTTTCAGAGCAAACTGTAATTTTTCGAATAGTTTTTCGTCTCTCAAAATACTAAATGTCATTTATATGGTCTGTCAGTCCAGAGCTATGTATCAAAATTTAAAATTTCCAGCTCAGCATTTTAAATATTTCAAGTGTCTCAGCAGTAGCAGCGGTTTTGTTATTACATAACAGTTATAAATTATTATTAATTAATCAATTAAGTGCGCAAATCAGGGCAGGTAATGTAGTAGTAAATAAATAGTTGAAAATGAAGTTTCCGTGAATAAATAGTTTTTTGTGAATGAATAAAAGCGCTGATTTCGAGTTTGTTCAGAACAACTGTGAACAAATTTTGATTCTAGTTGCAGCAAAACAGTAGCAAAAGTCTTTCAGTCAGTCCCTCAAGGAGTTTTTTGTCATCCTGATTGTTGTAGTTACTTGTTTTTTTACTCATCAGCTGATGTTTTGTTTCGAGATCTTCGCGATGATGAAGTTGTTTCCGAAGATACCATAGTGACAGTTGAACTGGCAAATCCAGACTAAAAAATAAACAAATTTTACCTACTTACCAACAAAAATTAGTTATAAACATAAAACCAGCAATAAACAAACATATTTTCCTAAGCAACTAAGAAGGATTTCCATACTTTACCCTTTAACTTGCTTTTTTCGTTGAGTGCAAAATTACAAACAATTGAAATTCTACGAAATTGTGTCAGACAGTATTTGAAATTTATCTGCAAATTAGCAAATTTTGCTGAATGTTAAGCGAAATGATGGTGTTTGTATTCAGTTACAGCAAAAGTGGTCAATTCGTGGTTTGAATAAGAACTGAATGGCATGATAATTGGAACTCGGAACTGAAAAGATTCGAAACTCATCACAAATTATTCACCTTGGAGCCTCCCACTTGCTGTAACGCGAACTGAAAACACATAATATGTTCCCCCATTGCTCGAAAAGATTTGATAAAAGGTTAGTTATGGTTTGATTTATATAGTTAGATATGTTCATATTAATAGAAAGACATTTCAATTATGTTTTAAGTTTCTGGAATATATCGTCCAAGTTCTTTTTTTTCAGGTAACTCGACTCCGCTACCAAACAAAAGCGTTGTTACCTTTCAAAACAACTTGGATCGACTTAGACAATTGAGGATATCTGAGATTTTTTTTGAAATGTCTTTAGATTTTAAACCAACTCTCACTTTTGAACCGTTTCTCAGCAATAGCTATTCGCCAAGTTTGAAAAAGCGTTTAAGTAAAAAAAAAACAAGCTTAAAGTCAGTAATTGTGGTCAAATATTTGATTTTTCATTAACTAATTTTAATCAGTTTTGATTTTAAGAAACAGCTAATGGTACAATTTAAGAGAGTTGGCCTTGAATGGTCGTCACTGGATGACACAATAATGTATCTGGCAGTATGACGTAATTTACAATGTAGCGCTCCTATTGGCTGGCGAGTTACTGCTGGTGGACGAGAGGAACAGTGGTGGTGACCAACTGTTGTTCCTCAATCACGATCAACTTTTTCTAAAAGGTAACCAAATAGTAGAAGACAAGTCCTTATTAAGTCATACCTTCCATTTCCATATAAAGAAAAAGAGATTAGTTTATATTTTTATATGAGTCATGTTTCGAATTTGCCGAAAAACCAGATTTTTCAAATATATTTCGGGGGTCTTGGTTATATAATAAGGAAATCTTCCGAGGCCCAATAATTAAGAGCCAGTTTCGAACATTTCCGATAACCTCCAAATATGAAAAAAAAACTGAAAAGGAGCCAGATAAACAAACTGGCAGCTGAAGGTACAAGCTCTTCATCACCCAAGGAACCCACTACTAACCCAATTCATTAACAAAAAAGCGATTTCTGATTAAGCGGGTGTTTTTTCATCCAATTTTTTTCACTAAATTCATTGTATTTAGTAGATGAATAATATACAATAATATAACATAGAGATAGAATAATATACAAAACGAAAGATCAAGGAATCAAAATAAAATTAAATCAAAGTACCCTTCATCATTAACGTGGAAAGATATTTATCTTAAACAGTTAATAAACGCAATAAATTTTTTCTTAACTGGATGCCAAAAATGCATGCGATTTTTTGGCACAATTTTGGATATGTAGAAAGAAATTATCAGAAAAATTCATTCGTATCACAAAATCGTAACTACAGTTAAAACGCTGCTGTTGTCGATAACAGGATGCCTTGATCGTTTAAGCCAAAACTGGTCTTTGAAAAGGTTAAGTTACATTAGATATCAACTCATGCAAAACTGTACAGGTGTAAAAATATGTATTTCTAGGTTATATGGTTCCAAAAATGTCTATCATCTACTTATTGTGATCTACTCATTGCAACAATAACCAATTAAAATATTCATTTACCCTCTAACTAAATGATCCAATATTTCGGAACATAACAATATAACCGATGGTAAAATAAAGATATGATGGGCTTTATATTTAATTGGTATTGTTGAATACATCCCAAAATTAGTATCACTCATTCATGCTACTAGAAGTGTTAATTGTCAAGTCATTGCTTGTACTGCTGCTACTATTCGTCGGAACTTCCACGAGCGAGGTATAACTGCCACCCGAGCTTCTGCGACGTCGACGACTTGGCACCAAAGTCGGAACTCTTTCGGATCCACTACTCGGAGTTGTTACGTAACTCGATAACGAGTTGGTTGCCATGTAATCTGTTACGTTATTAGTATTAGGATGCTGGGTTGATGATGACGTAACTGCACTACTACTCTTGCTCACAAGGCCGAAGCCGAAATTAGTCGAATTGGAATGGAAAGTGGAAAGGTCAGATACCCTGCCAGAAGATGGTCCAGTTGTGGCTCGGCTCTTGGCTCGCAGTTTGGCCAGTTGCGACTCGGCCATTTCGGCTCTCTCGTCGGCTTCATCAACATCATGTTGGAATTTTCTCAGCCTGGCCAAAGCCTGGTTGTTGGCATCTTCCTGCAACAAAGAGGATTTACGTCAACTTTCCATCGATTGATCTAACCCTCGTTTACCTAAACTTAGTTTTAACCTACCAATTTCATTATTAAAAGGTCATATCTTCACATTCTAGCTGTGCTTACCTTATGATGGCAAATCTCTGATTTAAAGCAAAATATCATAATTGAGTGATGCTCCGTGTTTTTATTTGATAAATGGACTTTTAAAGAGGAGCTGCATGGGAGAAGGGGACAAGATAACAGTAATTCTGCAGTGGCAATTTGTTATCTGATAGAGAGATGAGAAGACACAAGTGATACTGACCAGATCCTCGATCTGTTTCTTGAGCTGCAGATGTTTCTTGTTGCTCCTGTCCAACAGTTCGATCTGTTTGTCCTTTTCCTTCTTCTCCTCTTCTGCAGCGAATGCCAACTCCTTCATCCTTCTCTCCACCTTCCTCAACTGCTTAATCGCCTCTGTTGCCTTGATGCTCTCGCTATTCTTCTCCTAAACCAAAACATCAAAAAAACTATATTATAGCACTAAATTGCTTCAAAAATATTTAAAAAATTACTTCAACCAAAATCAATTCGAAAAAAAATATGACCTCTTTCGGAAAAATTTTGCGAGCAAAAGCTAACTTTTGTCTCAAGTTCTATAGTTTTTTTTTCAACTAGCGGCCCGAATTCACTTTATTTCCTGAGTTTCTTCTGTCAAACTTCAGAACGCTTCCGAATGAAAAAACGAGAACGTTCCAACCAATTTTAAATCACTAGAACTAATTGACATTAACGGTTACACCGGCCAGCCAAACTGATATAAGTCTGTGACTTGAACCTCAGAAAAAAAGTTTCAAGTGCGAATGGAGAATGCGCTTACGCCTTCGAGGTCTCTGATTCTAATCTCAAGTCTCTCCACGTTCTTCTTGGACAGTCTGGGGTCCGAGGATCCTCCGTCTTCGAATCGGATGGTGAGTTCCTTGAACTGCTGTTCCACAGTCTTGCACCTTCTCTCAATAGTCTGACTGTGCTCGTGCTCGCTTCTCAACTCCTCCTGCAGTCTGGACACATCCATTTGCGACTGGAACACACGAACGAACCATTTTTACACTTCAATACACTGACTTAATGATCTGAACTAATTACTGAGCAGGAATATTTTAGAACCATTTCAACGTCTGCAAACAAATCGAGAAAGACTGATCCAAGAGTTTCAAGGTGTTCCAAGGTCATATTCCAACTGATGTGCCACAGCAACCTAGAAGTTCCTACCATTTAAAAAGACTCATGTTTCTGATACCGGTGCTAACTTAAGATTATTTAAAACTTAAGATTAATTAAATTAGTTTTCACGTCTTGTCAATGTTGCTTACTTTCTTGGCTCGTTCATCAGCGGCCTTCAATTCGTGAGTCAGATCCTCAACGTCACTCATCGCGTTCTGCAAGTCTGCTTCCAGCTTCCTCTTGGCTGCATTCAGAGCATTCATCTGGCTCTGCAAGTCGGTGATTCTCTCAGAAGCATCAGCTGCGTCGCCCTCTGCCGACCTTCGGAGTCTCTCGGCCTGCTCGTATCCGGATCGGAGTTCCTGCACTTCGTTGCTGAGCATGGTGGCTCTTCGTTCCGACATGTTGTACTGTTCTCGGATCTCGTCCACGTTTCGCTGCTCCTCTTCCAGAGATGTTTGCAGGTCCTGAAGATGCAATTAAATCATAAAAGACCCAATCAATTTAAACTCCCATAACTTTATACAGCTAGCGAATCAGCTCTACCTTTTAATTATCTGGTCTACTTTCAAATTTTAGTCAGAGGCTTATAACAAACTTTGTCGCCTCTCGTACAAACGGAAACACAAAATGCTTCTTTCAAAAAATTTACGAAAATATGTAACAAATTGTTTGATGATCTTTATACTTGATGTGATCAAAATTGGACCAATGCTAATGATATCCCGCACGTTTTTGAAAATATGCTAACGAGCTATTTCATGATGGTTTTTGTCGTGACCTTGCTTTGGGTCACGACCATGTCTTGGGTTACCTGCTATGGATATCTGTTTGGGGAGAGGGGTGGGGGAGGTCTACGTACCTTGACTTGGGTCTGCAGTTTCTTGACTAGTTTCTGTCCCTCTTGGTTGTTCCTGTTGGCGATCTCCAGGGCCACCTCGTACTCGTTGATGTCTGCCTCCAGCTTCTTCCTCCCTTTCAACACCTCCTGCTTGCTCCTCGTCTCCTGCTCCAGAGAGGCCTGGATTGTGTCTATCGTCTTCTGGTATTGTCTCCTATTAATTAAGACACCATCATTAATATTATAGTACAAGTGATTTGAAAAAAAAATGTTATAACTTTTAGTAGAAATTTTTTGAAAAATAAATCTAAACATTCAAAACTCTCAAAACTTTATGTATGCCCAAAATTTTAAGACCAAAGGAGATTTTATTGGTACAATTTAAGGAATTGAGATTCTTTAAAATTCTATAATGAAATTCAGCTTTCACAAAATTCGTTCAAAACTAATGTAAGTGTTCACTTAAGTTCAAAAATACATAAGAGTGAAAAAGAAACAAAAAGGAAAGACTAGAGTGAAGACGGTTTAGAGAGTTAGTGTTACTTTTTTGAATGACTTTTCTCTTTACTGAAAACACATCTCCATAAATACCAAGTCACCATATTTTAGATCAACGAGTACCGAACTAATCCCAAGACATGCTGAATAACATTTGATAGGTCCTTCGCAAGTTTTAGCGTTGTAAAACATATCCTTACATTACAAGAAATCGAGTTTAAAAGAAAGAGAAAGAGATTATTTATTTTTGTTTACCTGACAGTTTCGAATTCCTCGTCCTTCTCGTTGATTCTCTTCTCCAAGTCGCCCTTCAGCTGACTCAGTTCAACTTGAACTCTCATGACCTTGGCCTCTTCATTCTCAATGGTGTGTTCTGCTTCCTCCAGAGCAGTCTGCAGTTCGGCCTTCTCCTGTTCCAGTCGTCGTTTGGCCTTCTCGATGTCGTGCACACTTCGGCCGCCCTCGCCCAACTGGTCAGACAGGTCTGAGATCTCGGTGGTGAGGGTCTTGTTCTCTCGCTTCAGTACCTCAATCGTGTCAATGGTTTCTTCGTACGAAGATTTGAATCTGAAACATCACTCAAAAATGAAACATTCGTCACCATTAACTCATAAACACATTTACATTATACTAAACATATTTTAAACATTTTTACAGATCATCTAACAAATTCAAGCTCCAGTGATAATAATGCCACCACGGTAGTTGCAATACCTGATGATTTAACAGGTGAGCCATTTTTATGTTGGGACTCTTAAATAATAAATAGTTAAAAGCATCCTTGAGCTATTTTTGTACTGCAACTATCTAAGTGCATTGATGGCAGTCTAGTAGGACGCAAGAGTAATTGACAATGCAGTAGTTGTTGGAAGGGTAATTTACCTGAACAGTTCGGTGGAGTAGTTCCTGCACTCCTTCTGGGAGTTGTCGAGTTCGTTCTGCAACTCCTCGACCTTGCCCTTCCAGGTGGCGATCTCCTGGTCGAACTTCTTCTGTGCCTTCTCCACATTGGCATACGAAGACTGCATCTATAAAATTACACAAACAAGAAATAAACAAAAATATCAACAAAAACATACAAACCAACATACTTCGTTTTAATTCGTCAATGTCACTTAGATAGTTTCAGCATCTGATAATATTAGATGATTACACTCTATCCATAACTAAATATGTCACTTGAGAAAAGAATACGCAGAAAACATTCCATTACACACCCTTTTAGCGATTCGAATTATACAAGAAGATTATTATATTAGAAGATTAGACACCTTTGCGATTCGAACCAGTGGCCTATTGGTTGTTACTTGCTGACTTACCCTCTCCAGTTCGATGGTGACGTCTTCTAGGTCTGCCTGCATCCTGTTCTTGATCTTCTCCATGTTGCTGGCCTTGGCAGTCTGACTCTCGAGGTGCTCCTCTGTCTCCTGCAGTTTTATGATCAACTTCTTCCTCGCCTCCTCCAATTCCTCCACTCGTGCGGCACCCTCCAACTCGTACTTGGATCTACACATAATTAATTACTCATTATAACCATATTAGGTAAAATTTACATAATTCAGTTATGTAACGGTTACCTACATATAATTATTTAAACTCATGAGTATCTACAATTTACTAATGGTTATCCTAAATTTTGACGGCACTAAGCTAACAGAATTGAAAACGCCACTAACCCAGCATCTTATTTGATTATTTTTTGGATATTATTTTATTGCGCAATTAGGTTATGCAACATTTTTGATATATTATGTAACAGTTACACACCTGAGGGCGGACACTTCGCTCATGGCCTTCTGCAGCTGTCGTTGCAAGTCGGCCTTGGATGACTCTTCGTCCTCGACCTATAGAAACACGTGATTAAATAACGCAAAACAAAAAAAAACAGCAGCACAATTCATTGATGAAAATATTTTTCAAAAGTTTTTTTATATATACTTTTTTACTTTTCAAGTGCATTTTTTGAAACTAAAAAAACTAAGAGAAATGTTACGTTTTTTTTTTTACAACTGTGGTTCATTATGTGTATGCGTGTGTCCATGTGTGTGTGGTGCGTGTGGGGTGTGTGTGTATATATATAGTACCTGTTCTCTGAGCTGGTCGATTTCTCTCTGGGCGTTGTTGAACTGGATCTGGAGGGAGCTTCTGGCTCGGGACTCCTCCTCTGCCGACCTCTTAGCCTCCTCCAACTGGTTTGTCAGAGTAATCTTGATTCGGTTGGTTGACGAGAAGCTGCAAAAGTGACAAAAACCAAAATCTGAATCATTCTTAATTTAATAGTTTTCTGTATTTTTTTGCTTATAACATTTAAGAAATGATAGCTCTCTTAAAAATGATTCGAAACAGATTGCGTTTGCTTATTTTTGTTGCACCAAGGGTCAATTGACATGAAAATACATGATTATTGAAAAAAAAACATTCTACGAAGAAAGAATACATTTGAATTTCTATAAAAATCTTTATTTTTAGCAGCTTTGACTAAATTTCAAGCTTGTTTAAGACAAAGTTTTAAAATATTTTTAAAATGAATGATGTAAAAATATCTCTATCGGGAGTCGAACCTGTAACCAGGCCTTTCGAATAAAGATAATTTTTCTAGTGTTCTCATACCTGCTCTCGTGTTCCTCGATGTGTCTCGTGAGTTCGGACACCTCTGTCTGCAGTCTAGACTTCTGAGACTGAATCTCCATCACAGTCCTGTTCTGCTCATCCAGCTGTGCCTTCAAGTCAGACAACTGAGAGTCCAGCTGCTGGTTGTTACGGTCCGCCGCTTGCTACAACACACACATTTTAGTTAAATACAAAACAGAAAAGTTACCAAAAATACATGTAGTTCTTAATTAAGGGCACAGCAGTTGTTCTCCATAAGAGAGGTAGTTGATGTCTACCTTGTTCTTGGAGAGGACTTCGAAGTTGCTCTGCAGGTCTTCAGCCTCCATCTTGAACTGGTTTCGCTCTTTCTCCAACTTAGCCTTCATCTTCTGCAAACTGTCAACCTGAACAACACAAAAGCAAAAATTAACTTATTTCTAAGTTGATTAATTGCTACTAATAACTCAACATCATTTTCAGAAATCATTTTTTCAAACCATTCTTTCTTTGCAAGTACTGATAAAAAATTAGAATAAAAGTTGGCATAAATTCTTTTGTTCTAAATACAAATAATTAGAAACAGAGTAAAGCTCTTTTTTCAGAAATCAAATTTTAAGTACTTTTTTTGTAAATTTAGATCTTAGCTTATTGAAAAACAGTATCACAAATTATTAGATCTTCTCGCAGTCGTCGAGCGCTGAATGATGACGATTGTGCTTAACTGACCTGAGCCTGCAGTTCGGCCAGCTGCTCCTGTTGCTTCTTCCTCTGTTGTCCAACACTAGTCTCGTGTTGGATGTGGATCTCCTCAATGTCGTGTCTCAACTTGAGCAGTTCCTGTTCCCTCTTTTTGTTCAGTTCAATCTGGGCAGCTGTCGCTCCGCCCTGTTCATCCAGTCGGTCGGTGAGGTCTTCCAACTCACGTGCAAGCTCTTGTCGCTGTTTCTCCACCTGCAAAAAAAAACATAAAATTTGTTCCAAACGGCACAAGTAAACCCGAAACGCGAGTAAACCGACGAATCAATATTTGAATTTTTTCAAGTTCAAGTCCATTTTGGTTAACAAGGCAAGCATGACTTTATTGTAAATAGTTTATACTGTGGATACTTTGTTTTGAATACATTGTTATTTTCATTGCAAAATTATTTTACTGCCACATTATTGTTCCGACTTTCGATATGAAAGTAACGGAATATTTGTGCTCGGGGTGGGTTTTTTTTCTTCAGACAAATGTCGACTTTTTAACTAGCCATTTTTGACGGAATTTTTTATGCCATTCAAAAGGTATTGTTGCCCTGAGCTTAAATTTGAAAAGATATTTCACCTGTGATCATTTTTCGTAAAGTTATGAGGGTTTAAAGATTGCCATTTTGACCAATTTGGGACAATTAACGCGCAATATAATTCGCGCTATTAACGCGTAAGCGAGATTTAATCCGTCTTATAAATCATTCCAAATTGGTTGAATGAAGCTTATTTGCCATAATTGGTTTGTTACAAGGAACGAAATCTATCGTTTTGTACTTTATATGGCGTGTGGGGGGATGATTCTCATAAAAAAATTTCAAATAAAAAAAAAATTTTCATTTTATTTTATTTCATTTAATTTTTTTATGTATTACTGCTGCTCAATAAACATTAAAAGGCAGTCGGAACATTCAGGGCTTCGCCCTGATACGAGCAGTCTTGTATGATTTAATCATTAAAATATTTTCCATAGCTTCAGGTTTAATTATAATTTTCATTTACTCAATCGGCTAAAATGTTACATCACCTTGGCTCTGTTGAGTCGCTCGGATTCATTCTCTTCCTCGAGCTCCTCGATTCGGTTCTGAAACAGTCACATAGTGAAAAAAAAGTTAGGTTATAACAAGTGTATTTAGTAATAATTCCACAGCTATTTTATAACAAGTGCCAATTTTTAAGGTTTGAGTTTGAAAAAAGTTTTGATAGTTTAGGACTCCTAGGAAATAGAAAAGAGTTTGTCATTTGAGCTTATAATCTTTAGTTCTCAAGTTATTGCTATCTTAATTTGAACCGGTTTTTAAATTAGTTAACACATAGCGTCTGGTCTCGAAACATCATTAATTTTTAAACATCATTTTTGAAAAAAAAGAATTACAGAAAAAGACCAGGCGCGAGAAGTGGTTAAACGTGAGGCGATTAGTCCCTATGATTAAATAATATCCATCAATTCTAATAAAAGTAAAACAAATATGCTAAAAAGAACTCCTATACACACAACTGAGTTCCCTGTAGCTTAATATTTTCTCATATTTTTTCAATTTTATTTTTAGTGAGGCATGGAAATCATTTCAGTGAAAAGACCTCGACGCAGTATTAATTAAGCACGCAGTAATCTGAAAGCGGTGATGAAAATGTTAGTGTCAAAAACTCACTCGTTCAAGAATAATTACACACTTTCTAAACCACTTGCTATAGCACGTGTAGTAAAAACAGAAATGTTGAGTTTTCGTTAAGTCAAGTTTTCACTTCATTATGCCAAGTACACACAAAACCGGTTCAAAAATTCTTTAGAAAGTTATAGAACATTCTAGAAATATCTAGAAGGATAAGAAAAAAGCGTCTGTTAGCGAGTCGTGACTTGAATATCCGCTCTGAAATGCGCTGTCTGAGCTGTCCATGACATGGCTTCGTCCAGGGCTCTGAGAAGTTTCTTCGACTTGGCGGTCGTTCTGTTTTTCTGAGTTACAATTTCGACTTCCTGCTGCGCTGATTTAGTCGACACTACATCTAAGTTTTCAGATGAGTGCAACAAACGGGTGTTGGGGCCGAGCATAACAGCGGATCGCTCCATCTTATAACTTCGTTCCATACTTATAATATAGATTTAATCAGTATTGTCTGTCGAAATTATAAAACGACAAAAAACTCTAAGAAAACGCAAAAATTGATATGAAAATAATCTCCGTAATCACTAAAAAATATATACAAATACTGCAAACGCTCAGCTCAATTCCACAAAGAACTTTACTTTTTGCAAAATGTGTAGATGGATAAGTTTAAATTGTTACTAACAAACTTCACATCTCGGGAACATAAAAAATCCACGAAATTTTCAATCGGAAAAAAAGTATAAATGTAAATGAGACAACACTGATTGCTCTTTGAAAAAATACTAATTGGAATTCATTGTTGGTATGGATTTAAAGCGAGTTAAAATTAGCACGACGATTGAAGAAAACAACCCAAGAAGCGATTGCAACAATGGAGTTCCTGTACGGTGTAACTTTAGACCCTTTGGTGAAACTAAGGCAATACGAAATAACGACTGAGGATTTTGACTGTGCAACTAACACGTGCGAGGTGAAGAGCGAAGAATAAACAGCAATGCAAAACAATGTTGTCCACGATTTGCAGATAAATGTTTCGAAATATTTGGGATCAACTTGAACAGTTTTAGGGAACTTATTACACGTAGTAGGAGAGATAGGCTACTTTAAACACACTCATTTCAGCCCGTTGGGCTTACCTATATACGGAGGTATAGATATAAACTGTTTGTGATTTATAGCATTTGGTTTTAGTCATGGGCTTACCATGTAAGGGCTTCGGGCACCAATTGGGAATTGAACCACAAAGAAAATTTATCTTCGCTCTTTTAGCAGACAAAATAGACACGATTCTAAGGCGCCAGTTTAAGATCCAGAACTAATTGTCAACCTACATGGATCCAAGCTCAAAATCGTGCCCTTCTAAAATCTATTAAAACCACAAAGTATCCAGTACATTTCAATAAAAAACGTGTGCGTAACAGCTTGGTGTCGCGCATTCTGAAGAAACCCAGACGATTGAGTCCAAATGAATTAAACCCGGAGCACACCACAGCCTTCACGGATTATCTGGGCCCACTGTTTTGAAACGGTTTCCTGGGCCCCCTATTGTTGAGTTGTGATTGGGCAAAAAGGTAAAGCTTCTGTTTTGTTTTGTTTGCAAGTTACAAGCTACTTAAGAATTCAAGTTGTAATTTCTTTGTACAACACGAAAGAAGCAGGGATTTTCCTCCAGATATAGAATCATTTTGCCCTAAGATCTATTACCTTTCCCAATGGCATACGAGAAATATAAGTCCTCCAGAGCTATTTTTTCCTCTAAAGAACAAAAGCTTAAACTACTAGTTATACCAACAAGTGGTAACCACTTTTGAAGAGTTATGTGCAGCTGATTATCGATATATTTAGTTCGCAGAAGTTTTGCTTGAAAGGTTTTTGCATTTCAACTAGAATTAATACTTTACGCATAATATACTTAACACCAACCAACTATACTGTTCAAAGAAACTATACCTTTGTAATTCCGCGAGTAGCGGAAACAATGTTACAGAACAAGACTAAGAAAAGCAAATACGATTTGATAACATAACGAGGTCTATGGTTAATATCACACACTCCCAAACTTTATATTTAACCCCCTTGAAATTTCCCCTAAGTTTAAGACTAAGCCTAACCTACCAATCCCGCGAACTTACAAACATTTCTATATGTTTATTTCGTAGTCGCATACCAATTCCGTTTTATCAACTGTGTTATTTCTGTTGCTGAAGTTAAGGGTCAGACGTTACATGTGAGAATAATTGGAAGGTCAAGAGCTATTTCAAGAAATATAATCTGCAAAAAAGGACCAATCGAAACCCAACATTCCGACACTAACCTTCTGGTTTATAGATAAGAAATCAAAGTTTTGCCCACATTTCTCAGAATTAAAGAGGGCGAAATTGAATATCACAGTCTATTCTAAGCTTTGAACATAGCTCATAGCTCTGTCTGATCATAGCTCTCGAAATACAGTGGCTTAAACTTGAATAGTTTTGTTATAAACTATTCCGAGGAAATGAAATAGGCGTGTTTAACACAGACAGGTATAATGGTTGAAATATTGTATTGTAACGGGAATGTTCAAAAGATATGTAAAATGACCCACACGCAACAAAACATATGGATTGGTTTCATGAAAACTATTCTACCAGAAATTACTGTCATTTGTCGAAATGGGTAACATGAAAAACTCAGGAGAACAAATTTTGAAGCTCTTTTATAATTTCATGCTGGAAAATAAGGAACTAAATCGCAAAAAAAAATGAATTTCAGATGTTCAAATTGCCAAAAAATGTAATACGACGAATACATTTTACCTAGAAATGTAAATCACTCCATAAAATTCGAGCAAAAAAAAACAATTTAATGCCAAAAATTCCTTCACATCAAAATTATTGTTCCGACTTTCGATACGCAAGCAGAGGAATATTTGTGCTCGGGGTGTTTTTTTCTTCTTCAGACAAATTTCGACTTTTTTAACTAGCCATTTTGGCTCTTTTCCAGTTCCCCCCCTTCAAATTAATTTTTGAAAACCTTATTTAACGTTGTCATAATGCAATGAAAATTGGCATGGTGAACAAATTGACAATTATGAACAGATTTGTTCTTCATACATTACAGCGTAACATCACGCATTTAGCCGTAATAACACGTAAAACAAACATAAAAATCGATATTTTGAAAGGTGGGGGGGGGGAGTGGAAAAGAGCCGCTATTTGTGACGGAAATTTTTTTTATATCATTTGAAAGGTATTGTTGTTCTGAGCTTAAATTTGAAAAGATATTTCACCTGTGATCATTTTTCGTAAAGTTACAGGGGTTTAAGGATTGCCATTTTGGTCAATTTGGGACAACTAACGCGCGATATATTTCGCGCTAATAACGCGTAAGCGGAGATTTAATCCGTCTTAGAAATTGTTCCAAATTCGCTGAAAGAAGCTTATTTGCCAATTGATTTGTTACAAGGAGCAAAATCTATTCTTTTGTACTTTTTATGGCGTGTGGGGGATGATTTAAAAAAAAACAATCAAGTTTTAGAACAAATTTTTTTTTCATTTTAGTTTATTACATTTCAAGTGTGAAAAAAGCAAATTAGGACCGTAGTGCGAGCTAAATAAAAAATAACGCGAAGGAGGCTAATTAACCCGGCTAACAAATCATTTAAACATAAGTCACTTAGTACTAGAAATAGAGCGCAGAGAAAAAAATTTAACAAAAACGAAAAAAAAAAATTCCAAATATTACTATTTCTAAAAATTTCATCAAAAAATTAAAACAAAAACTACGTCAGAACACATGAAGTGTAGTCGGAACATTCGCATAGTTGCCCTGAAGCAAACAATTTTTTTTTCCGCTGTGAGATTCAAGAACTTAGCTTAGCAATTCAACACACAGCGAACAAAAAAGCTCGTATCAAAACTTTAGCTTGAACCTTCCGACTGCTTTTTATTGATCGCTTTTGTGGTAAAAAAATGGTTAAGCTTTGCCAAACTAAAATAACCGAAGAACACCGTCAGAAAAAAAAACATTTTGATTTGTTATTTGATTCGCAATTTGAAAGCAACCAAAAATAAGAGCAGAGCGTGCAGGCTTACAATAGCTTATTTAAGCTTAAATTAAGCCGTTAAAACTTAAATTTGTTCGAGTAAAAACCTTTTTAGGACTCAATAACTTCAAAAAATTCTGCAAAAAAGTAAGAAAAAATTTTTTTAGTTGTTTTTTTTTTTTTTTTTTTTCTAGCAAATTTTCTATAAAAACAGCTTTTCAATTGGCTTATTTGACTATTACTGTCGCTTCTGCCTAATTAATTTTTTTCGTTCGGATTTTTTTTATCACACAACACAGAAAAAATGACACTAATTTGAAAAAAAAAATGTATTTTTTAAGACCAAGGTCGGAAAATTTTGTGCTACTTGCGCATTAACCGACTATCCTTGTTTCTAAGTGTTTTTTACCCCAACAAAAATAATTTTGGGCGTTTAAAACGCAAGTTTCA